ACCTAAACCATTCAGTCCTCTGTTGTAAGATTCCATTTCTATATTGATAAGATTTTGTTACATTATTGCCTATAGACCACGTTATTCAAAGCATCAATATAACTTCAGATTAAATTAAAAAAAATTCCACATGAACCACTTCGGTCTTCGTTATTTTAATCTAAAATTTTAACTTTCTCCTGCATCACATTTTAGTGTGAATCTCAATCAACTACAAAACTGCAACTTCACAAAATCAGTTTCAAAACTAAGGCCAGGTCTACGTCACTTGGAGCTGTGAAAAATCCACAGCCCTGAGCAAAGTAGTTGAGCTGATCTAACCCCCTGTAGACAGCACTAGGTCAACAGAAGAATTCCTTCTTTGACCTAGCTACTGCCCCAAGGAGAGACAAATTTACCATAATGACGAGAGAATTGCTCCTGTCACTGTAGTGAGGGTCTGCACTGAAATGCTACAGCAGCGCAGATGTAGCTATGCCATTGCAGTGGTTTAAGTGTAGACACAGCCTAAGTTTTGATATCCTCTTAACAGTAAAACTATACCAAAGGGATCCCCCACAACTACAAATATAAAAGAAGACAACTCAATGATGAGTTACACTGGATAGATTTCTAATCCTGAAGAGATACAGAGGGCAGTAATGAAATGCTAGTTGTCCAATTTTCTTTTCCAGTAAAGTACTATTTATTAAAATCATATTTTGTCAGACAATACGAAGTGAGATCATATGATTATCACCTGATTTACTCTTTAATCTTGGGATAAATCTCAGCATTAGCATGCTAGACAGCAATGTGAAAAGCTACAATTGTGACATAAGTCAACAACTCTATCAGTGAAGGGGCTAGTAAGGAGACTTGTTCTGATGCACTCTCTAGCCGCCAACAGAGCACAGTAACAGTTTCAAAGGAAGCAGACAACCCACTCAACCACAAGAATAAAAAGCAACACATCTGCTGATACTAAGAGAGGACGGTGCTTATTGAGCGGGAGAAGAATAAGCCAAGAGAAAGGAAAAGTGGGCATGACCTTTTCAATCCCACAACCTAATGTTTCTTTCAAGAATGCCTCCCCATGGATCTCCGTAAAATACATACATGGTCAAAAGATGTAGTGGGTTTTTTTAAAACAAAAAAATACAATGCAATCCAGAGTCACCAACATTTTAGTTTTAAAAATATTATTTTCATTTTTAAAACAAAGCTTATAAAATAATTAACCTTTTTTTCTTTGGTGTTTCATCCAACAGGGCCAGAGTTCTGGCAAATTCTTCATCCTCATGCAGCTGTCTCTCTAGCTGTGAAGAAAAAAGAATATCCAGGTTTTGTCAACAGAATTAAACTAAAGATGGGTTGTATAAAATGCCACTGCCTGTTGTTCAAGATCAAAAGTTCACTGACCACATGGACCATGACAATATGCAGTTTTAATCAAATACCCCACCAAGAGGGAATCCTGCTGCATTGGATTTCTACAAAATGCTACAAAATTACTTGTTTTCCCCAAGTGCAGCGACAGTATTCAACTCAGTGAAAGGATATTTGTAATGCAACAAACCCCACTATACAAAGAGACGAGCTACCTAGATATAGAGGAATAGAATTGTCCAATCCCATTAACAACAAAACTTGCTGTCTCTTCGAATACTTTTATTATGGAACAACCTTGTTAATGCATTACACAACTAAAATCTGAAAGGAAGTCAGGATCTCACTACTCACAACCTGTTACTGGGGAGCTCCCTGCTGATTTCAGAGATCCTCTTTCAGAATTGGTGTCAGAAACAAAGCCTGTTCTGTATTAGCACATCCCCACAATGAAATGGTCATCTTAACGCCAGTTTTCTTATTTCAAGAGAGCAGATTTTTACAAATATAGCCCGACCCTTGCCTGGCTCTTGCTTTCAATGCATTTTAGCAACTGTCTGACATATTAGACAGATGCAAGTCCAGCTGAAAAATATAAATAGCAATTTCAACAAAATGGATTTCCTCCAGTAAAAAAAAAAAAGTCCAGGTCCACACATTTCCTCAGATTCCATTTGCAATTACTTATTATCTTGTGCCAAATCAAAACAAAGCCTAGTTAGGAACAAATGAAGGAAAACCTAATGCAACATCTACAACAGTGACAGGCATCCTCGTTACCATATTATCATTTAATATTGTGCCTTAGGGCAAAAATTTGTTCTTCCTGACTAAGGTGTTTATTGATAATGGCTGTATTCCACATTACAAATCAAATCCTTTTACAACAGCAAGTAAACTGTCCTAATGCAAGATCAAACATGCCCTTCCTGCCTGATTCAAATAGATGACTTCATAAGTCCAAGTATACCACAGGGACTATTTTCTACGTAACCATAACACCGGTAGTACTCTGAAGCTGATGAATGGCATCTATCTTCCCTGCTTCCAGCAGAAAGAAGGAAAAAAAAGACAGACAACAGTATCATCAATGTAAATAAGACATGTAAGGCAAAGATACACAAATTGTATCAGCAGAGCATCTCTGTCTTGTGTAAGGGAGTGGTGGTGCTAGAAGTATTAGGAATTTAAAGAAAATGTGCGTGGTTTTTCCTAAAACAGACTATTTATTTCATATCAAAAGTTAACCCTATTAGAATATTAGTTTCTGGCAAGGTCAAAGAGGATATATTCTTTTTAAATGTATCTAAATTATAAACATTTACTTCACATGATGCTTATGCATTACACATTTCCAGCCAATCTTCCCTTCAAAGAAGAAAACACACACACATTTTGACAGGTATGCGTTCCCCCAATATAAACAGATTCATCTGGCGTTTATAAAGTTAAATACAGTACCCAGGCGTAATAATGCTATAGATTTCCAGGAGCGCATGGAGATCAAAGATCAAATGAAATGGTCATGGATGGCAGTGATCTCTTTTGAGATGGAGTATGCATTAGAGAGAGAGAGAGATATAAGGGAGTGGGAATGAAGATCAGATTTGAAAGGGAGGGGTGAATAGCAACAGATAAAGGGTGTGAGGGAGGGATGTAGGGAGGCAGAGATTAGGGTAGATATGGCTACATTCACAATACTAAAATAATATGCACAAAATAACCTCGCATATATGAACTTTATTATTGAAATATATTTTTTAAGACGACATAAAATCGGTTTTCCCTTTCCAAGCCAGTACAGCAGCAAATTCACAGAACTGCTCAACACAAAACACAACCCAGCTATTTTGTTGTCAAGCAAAGGCTTTTAAAGAGGATTC